GATAATCCCCACATATCCCAGGAGTCTTCCCGTCACGTTTTAGTGGAGTAACAGTTGGCGTGGCTCAAGCCGAAGAATTTACGGGTGTCAGAGCTCCCTTGCTTACCATTTCATTTAACGCCTTTTTTCGGGCTCACGAAGTCCAAGTGGGATAATCCGATGTTTCATAAACACCGGAGAACCGGTTACTTCGAGACTCACAGGAGTCATTTTGATACCACCCTTTGCCTTCGAACATTCAAGTACTAAGTGACGAAGGCGTGATTGATGGGAGTCAGACATGAATGAAAATGACAGATGCATACGATTCATGCAATTCAAACCAATTATAGAAATATCGGAATCAATAACCAAAAACGGGCAGTGAAATGTTTGCGATTTATCGTCTTTAAGAAGCAGTTTGCATGATCCTAAAACAGGCAAAAAATGACCGGTAACTTCCTTAACTGAAATGTCTGTTGGAGAAAGTACAACTGGGGGGTTTAAATGACTAAATACCTTGTTGGACATGAAAGAATCAGCACTGCCGGTGTCCATGATGACTGTATAGCGAATGGAGTCATTAATGATGAAGTCGCGAGTAATGTGACGAGAGGGACGTGAACTGGTATTGGCTAGAATTAAGGACTATAAATCACACAATAAAACTTCAGGGAAATGAACAGTCGTACGTTTTGTAAGACACGACTTAAATCGTTTAAAAGTGCGAATTCGCACTTTTACAGATCTGTATCCAATGTGTCGACAGATTGGATATATATGGCCAAGCTTACCGCAATTGACACTTGGCATTACGAAATCTACAGGATAGCCGCGAATGTATTTGACCACAGGAATCACACTTGTTCCATCGTTGAGTCCGTTGGTCATTTTGGTCTGGAGAACTGGTGTTGTTTGGTGTTTTCGAGCCCTTTTCAAAAAACCGCTTTTGTCGGGATGGTGACTGTTTGCAATTGCTGGCATTGAACAAAGAGTTGGGTTCATCACAAATAATGGCACGGACGTCTTGGTGCGTACCAGGAACAGTACTGGGCGGACGTTAACGATATATGCTCTCCCCCCGCTCTTATTTCCACTGAAGGCCACATTCGCTAACCTGTGACCTTGAAAAATATAATCTTATTATTTTCCTATCATAATTATTTAGTTTGGTTCCAGGACGTCGACGGCGTTGTGCTAGTTACTCCAGTTTCTGACAATGGTGCGTTCCAGGGAACCCGTTTGGTGCCGCGACAGATTTACGAGGGAGATTTCCCTTACTCACTTTTGTGATCAAATACTTCAGGAGAGTTGGGTTTTGACCTCCCACTCTCGCACCACATTCCGGTCACGCCTAATGGATCAGGGCAGCAGACCCTGACACCGGCATCAACCAAGTTACAACCCCGGCCGGAAGGGATAGGGAGTTCTAGTGGTATGTTAGTGATCGGGTAATGGTGGCGGCATGGGTATATGGTATAGAAAGAATAGAAGATAGTAGTAATGGATAAAGAGTGAGAGAAGGTCGGGGAAAAGGGGGAGTGGAGCTTCCGGACAATCACGTTGGTCAGGCGGCTTCTTAGGTTAAAAAGCCTTGCCATACAGAGTCCAGGCCGGTCTTGAATCTCTTCACCGAACTGGAATTTACTAGTTAATTGGGTAGTCTGTTCCAGTCATATCACCACCATTACGGCAAACGATTGCCGCCTTATGCGGGTGGATACCCTGATTTTAGCTAACTTAAGATCATTACCTCTTAACATTGGGTTCTCGTTGTGAGGTAGTAGTGGTCTCCCTTCTTCCCCAATGTCATCCAAACCCTTTCGAATTTTGAATGCCTCCATCAGGTCTCCCCTCCTTCTTCTCGCCAGTGAGAAGAGCTCGAGCCTCTCCAACCTGTCCTCATATCTAAGGTTCCTTATTCCTGGGAACCATCCGGTGAAGTACCGCCGCATCTTCTTGAGTACTTTTATATCCCCAGCTAGATATGGGCCCCAGGCCTGGACACAGTACTCCGGATGAGGGCGCACGAAGGCCTTGTATCGTGGTAGTACAACCTCCGGCCTTCTGGAGCTCACTGTTCTCTTCAGTTGGTAGAGAGCTCCTAGTGCCTTTCGTGCAGCTTATTGGCACTGTGCACTTGGTTTGAAATCAGCCTGGATCTTAATACCAAGATCCTTGGCCTCCCTCACTATATCCAGTTCACCCCCAGTGCCTGGTGGGCCGAGAAGTCTACCCTGCTCCTCTTCCTGCTGAGCGATGAGTCTCCGGCATTTGCCGATATTTAGCGGCGAATCTCATAGAACAGATCATTCGTAGACCCTGCTGTGGTCACTCTGTATAGTCTCAGAGTTGGGGTTGCCTATCGGCTATACGTCATCGGCGTAAAGGAGACATGGGTTCTCCAAGCCCTCCACTAAATCACTGATGTACAGTAGGAACAGTAGCGGACCCAGAACCGACCCCTATGGGACCCCACTACTAAGTTCTCCTCTGTGGGATACTTCTATCTTCACCGGGAAGCTCCGAACCCTTAGACACATCCACCGTTCCAACTTGGGAGTCAGCCCAAAGCTTCGAAACTTCATCATCATCAACCTGTGGTTGACCGAGTCAAAGGCCTTTTGAAAGTCTAGGTAGCAGACATCCACCCTGTCTCCCCAGTCAATCCTGTGCGTTACCTCGTCAAGAAAACACAAGATTGGTGAGGCACGATCGTCTCCTCATGAAACCGTGCTGATGTGCGGTCAACATCTTGGTTGCTTTCAAGTGTGTGACTACTTTGTCCCGTATGATTCGCTCCATGGTTCTTAATACCATCGAAGTCAAGTTGACGGGTCGGTAATTTGCGCAGTTCTCTCTGTTTCCCCTTTTGTAGATTGGAGTGACAGTTGACACCAACCAGTCACTAGAGTGTCGTCCTTCCTCCAATGATGCATTGAACAGTCATGCAAGCGGTTCCGCAAGCACACTCGCCAGTGGTTTTAACACCGCTGGATGCAGCTGGTCTGGACCCGGGGCCTTAGACACCATCAGTCTCTGTAGGTGCTCTTCTACGTTCGTTGGTTCTATGTACACCACTGGCATGGCCAATTGCGTGCAAAATCCAACGAATCTACCTTGGACACCTGAATCCCTTCTATAGATGGCCTGATAGAAGTGGCACACAATGTTGGCCTTCTCAAGGCTGGTTACTGCTGCTATTCCATCGCCATCCCTAACACATCCCTCAGCCTCCTGCAATACAGTCTTTGACTGCACGTAAATGAGGTAGGCTTTGGGGTGGGTTTTCGCATGTAGGGCCAACCTCTCCTCATATCTGCGTCGGCATTCATTTTGCACCCTGGACGCTCTTTTTCTCCCCACATTATAGCGCAGGAAGCCGCGGTGTGTTTCGATGCGCCGAAATCACCGCCAAGCTGACTGCTTCCTCTGGCTGGCCTTTCTCACCCTGTTACTCCACCATAGTGGAACACCCTTCAGTGGTGTGGTGTGTGTGTGAGTGGTACAGCTTGGTCTGTGAGTGCCAATATGTTATTCTTAGTTCGACACCACTGTCGCTCAACATATTGCTCTTCCTCTTCTACCATTCAGATGCACTGACAACCCGATTCAATCAGCGCGGCCTGTTTGCTGGACCAGAAAACATTACCAATCTTTCCTGTTTTCTTATCAAAAAGTTGATTATGGTCGTTCTGGTTTTAATTTGTGTTTTTGAATTCATGTCGGGCCGTTCCAACCTGCACAAAATCCTTGATGAATTCGAAGATTTGGCTTGTGTTGTATACCTGCAGGATCGTGGTCCTCATCCAAAGGATAAATTATGTGTGTGGACACCCAAAGCGTGTACAGGAGTACAGCCGGAGCAACCATGGCTTTGTTTTACGTTATTGTAAATGCAAGGGGCATGCCCCTATACGTACGGGAACATTTTTTGCCACTCTGCTGTAAATCATTCCGTTGGATTTATTGACTCTATCAGCAGCATGCACACAAGCAACGTTGAAGCATTCTGGAGCCGTATAAAGAAACGACTGCAGAACGTGCACGGATCCGTTGGTAGCATGCTTTGGGACCACCTTGCTGAGGTTCAGTACAGATTATGGTTTAATTTTTCATACGATAAATTTCCGGACGATATACCTAAATTTCTGGACCATATATAGCAGATTTATCCTTTGTAACTTTTTTATTATTTCTTAGTGATACTTTTATATACTTCAATATTCATTAATTATTTAATTATTACTTATTTTAATATTTTTCTAATACCATTAGGTATGTTTTATTCCATGGTTTTAGGCTTTTCCACATATACTAGTTATTAGTAGTCTAGTTATTTTTGCATCATTATCTTGAGGGGGGGGGTCATGCATCCTTAACGTTCGCCCAGTACTGTTCACAGACTGCCTTGGCCAACTGAAATGTGTAATCGTGCATAAGCAGGAGCTTTTGTTGCAACTCCGGGCAATTAATACCAGCAATCAATCGATCACGTAGCTGGATTTGCAACTGATCTCCGAAATTGCAACGAGATGCTTGAGTCTGAAGCTGAAGAATAAAATAACGTACAGATTGGCTTCCACCACATGTGAGTAAGTGCAATTTGGCTCGTTCAGCGGCTTCGAAATTAGCCGGCTGTAGATGCTTCAGCAGCAAGCTTTTCACGGATTCACACGACAACGATATAGGAGCATCAGGAAATACCAAATTCTTCAACAATGAGTATGCATCTTTTCCGATGACCGTTAGGATATTAGCCGTTTTGCGTTCTCCATCGAGTCTTTTTCTCGTAATACACCAAATCTCGAATCGTTCAAGATAATCTTCAAATTCGTGCGTACTAGCATGTACATTCAAGTACTCCAAATTACAGGACTCCATTGGTTCAAAATGACCGCAACGCCAGTTGTTGTGATTAGCATTCGGACTACTAATTCGTATACGCATCGAAATCCGCACAGTAATAGTCCAATCCGATTTAAGACTTGAAACGAAATCAGAACACAGAGCTCGGCAACGGAATCGAACTGTAATAAGCGAAAATTCGGAATGTAAAAGGATATCGTGTTCAATAAAACAAGAGTTCATAGTTCATGAGCAATCACCGCATATATCGAGGATAACTGGTGAAGGGAAAACATATGGAGATTGTGTGATGGGTAAATGGAATGATGAATCGAGATAGGCGGATCTTAAACAATCGATGCTTCCCGAGTCATGCATTCCCTTGCGATCGAAAACGGAAAGTTTATCGAACCGAGAAATTACTCTGTATGGTCCAGTGTATGGT